ATAAAATCCAGGGCTTGAAAGTCTAATCATCAGAAGTATTTGAAGAAATAATTTTTTTTTTATAATCGACAGAGCTCAAGTGTAATAGCCTGGACTGAAACACAGTCATCTGCCCAACAATCTCTTTAAAGTCCTGCGTGCCACCATAGCTCAGTGGTTAGAGCACTGGTCTTGTAAACCAGGGGTCATGAGTTCAATCCTCACTGGTGGATTATTTGAAAATCAATTTTATTTATAATCGACAGCGCTTCTATGTAATAAGACTTCAGAGTGAGACACAATCTTCAGCGGAACAATCTATTTAGAGCACTGTGTGCCACCATAGCTGAGTGGTTAGAGCACTGGTCTTGTAAACCAGGGGTCGTGAGTCCAATCCTCACTGGTGGCTTATTTGACGAATTCAATTTTTTTAATAATCGACAGAACTTCTATGTCTTTGAGTGAAACACATTCATCTGCCCAACAATATCTTTTTAGCACTACTTGGCACTATAGCTCAGTGGTTAGAGCACTGGTCTTGTAAACCAGGGGTCGTGAGTTCAATCCTCACTGGTGGCTTATTTGACGAATACAATTTTGTTATTGTCCACAGCGTTTCTTTCTAATAAGTCTTTAGAGGTATTTTCAGTCAACAGCTCAACAATCAACTTACAGTCATGCATACCACCATAGCTCTGCGGTTAGAGCACAGGTCTTCTGCAGCACGGGTCGTTAATTCAATCCTCTCTGGTGGCTTATTTGAAGAAATCATTTTTTTTTATAATCGACTGAGTTTCCATGTAATAAGTCTTTGAGTGAAACACATTCATCTGCCCAACAATCTCTTTAAAGTCCTGGGTGCCACTATACCTCAGTGGTTAGAGCACTGGTCTTCTAAACCAGGGGTCGTCAGTTCAATCCTCACTGGTGGCTTATTTAACGAAAACTATTATTTTTAATGGACAGCGCTTCTATGTAGGAAGACTTCAGATGAGACACAATCTTCAGCCGAACAATCTATTCAGAGTACTGTGTGCCACCATAGCTCAGTGGTTAGAGCACTGATCTTGTAAACCAGGGGTCGTGAGTTCATTCCTCACTGGTGGCTTATTTGAAGAAATCAATTTTTTTTAATAATCGACAGTGCTTCTATGTAATGAGCTTCTATGTCTTTGTGTGAAACACAGTCATCTGACCAACAATGTTTTTAGAGTACCGTGTGCCGCCATAGCTCAGTGGTTAGAGCACTGGTCTTGTAAACCAGGGGTCGTGAGTTCAATCCTCAATAGTGGCATATTTGAAGAAATAAATTTTTTATATAATCGACAGTGCTTCTATGCAATGAGCTTCTATCTCTTCGTGTGAAACACAGTCATCATAACAATGCTTTAAGTCCTGGGTACTTAAGCATACCTTAGTGGTTAGAGCACTGGTCTTGTATAGAAGAAGTCGTAGGTTCAATCCTCCTGGTGGCTTATTTGACGAATACAATTTTGTTATTGTCCACAGCGACATAACAAGTCTTTAGAGGTATTTTTCGATCCAACAGCTCAGCAATCAACTTACAGTCCGTTCCACCATAGCTCTGCAGTTAGGCACAGGTCTTCTGCAGCACAGGTCGTGAATTCAATCACTGGTGGCTTGTATTTGAAGAAATCAATTTTTTTTATATAATCGAAAGAGCTTCTATGTTTTAAATCTTTGAAAACACATTCATCTGCCCAACAATCTCTTTATGGTACTGCGTGCCACCATAGCTCAGAGTTAGAGCACGCTGGAAGCATAAACCAGGTTCGTGAGTTCAATCCTTAATAGTGGCTTATTTGACGAAACGATTATTTTTAATGGACAGCGCTGTAATACTACAGTGAAACAATCTTTGCCGACAATCTTTTTTAGGAGTACTGTGGCCACCATAGCTCAGTGGTTAGAGAACTGGTCTTGTAAACCAGGGTCATAGAGTTCAATCCTCACTGGTAGCGTATTTGAAATAATTTTTTTTATAATCGACAGCGCTTCTGTATAATAAGACTTCAGAGTAAGTTACAATCTTCAGCCGAACAATCTTTTTTAGAGTAATATGACATACCATGGCTCAGTGGTTAGAGCACTGGTATTGTAAACCAAGGGTCGTGGAGTTCAATCATCACGGTGGCAATAGAAGAAATCAATTTTTTTTTTTTATAATCGTCAGAGCTACAGACTTCAGAGTGAGACCTGAAATCTTGGGAGGAACAATCTTTTTTAGAGTACTGTGTGCCACCCATAGCTCAGTGTTAAGAGCATGATCTTGTAAACAAGAGTGAGTTCAATCCTCACTGGTGGCTTATTTATTTTTTTTTATAATCAAGAAGAGAGCTTCCTATGTAATAAGACTTTAGAAAGAAACACATTCATCTGCCCAACAATCTCTTTGCTTGGTACTGTGTACCCACCTGCCAAGCTCAGTGGTTAGAGCACTTTAGTCTTGCCTTAAACCAAGGGTCGTGAGTTCAATCCCTCACTGATATGGCTTATTTGAAGAAATCAATTTTTTATAATAATCTGACAATTTATGTAATGAGCTTCTATGTCTTTGTGAAACACAGTCATCGACCAACAATCTTTTTTTAAAATTACTGTCTGACAACTTGGCTCGATGGTAAAACTGATGTTTGCAAACCACGTGAGAGTTCAATCACATGGTGGCTTATTTGTGAAAACTATTATTTTTAATGGACAGCTTCTACGTGAAGACTTGAGATGAGACACAATCTTCAATGACCAATCTTATTAGAGTACAGCGTGCCATAATTCCCTCAGTGATTAGACCACTGGATACTTATGACCAAGGAGTCGTAGTTCAATTCTCTCACTGGTGGCTTGTTGGAAGAAATCCAGGTCTCGACGGGTGCTTCTATGTAATGGCTACCTATGTCTTTGTAGCAGAAACACAGTCATCTGACCAACAATATTTTAGTACTGTATGTGCCACCGCCAAAACAAGTGGTAAGAGCACTGATCTTGTAAACCAAGGGTCATCAGTTCCATACTCACTGGTTTCTTATTGTAAAACTATTATTTTTAATGGACAGCGCTTCTATGTAAAGAGACTTCCAGATGAGACACAATCTTCAGCCGAACAATTATTCAGAGTACTGCGTGCCACCATAGCTCCAGTGGTTAGAGCACTGGACTTGTAAACCAGGGTTCGTGAGTTCCAATCACATGTCTTGGTTTGACGAATACAATTTTTATATTTCCAGGTTAGCGTTTCTTTCTACAAGTCTTTAGAGGGTATTTTTCAGTCAACAGCTCAATAATCAACCTTACAGTCACTGCATACCACCATAGCCTAATGTTAGAGCACAGGCTCTTCTGCAGCACGGTCGTTTATAATTCAACTCCTCATGGTGGCATATTTGAAGAAATCAATTTATAATCGACGACGCTTCCATGCTACTAAGTCGCTGAGTGAAACACATATCTTGCCCAACAATCTCTTTAAAGTCCTGGTGCCACATGCTCAGTGGTTATACCGGTCTCTTAAAACCAGGGTCAAGTCAGAGTTCAATCCTCACTGGTGGACTTATTTAACGGAACATTATTATTTTATAATCGACAGCGTCAGAAATACTAGAGTGAGACACAATCTTCAGCCGAGAACAATCTATTCTAGAGCCAGTGCCACCTAGCTGAGTGATTTAGAGCTTAATTATCCTTGTAAACCAAGGGTCGAGTCATATCCTCATGGTGGCTTATTTGACAATCAATTTTTTAATATGTACAAAGCTTTCTTTAAGAGCTATAAGTCTTTGGGAGACATATTTCAGTCTGACGCTAACAATGCTTAGGCTACGTGTGCCGCTCATAGCTCATGCGTTAGAGCACAGGTCTTCTGCAGCACGGGTCGTAGTTCAATTCTCTCGTGTAACTTATTTGGAAAAACATTTTTGGTATATCGACGTGCAGTTCTATGCCATTCGTGTTGGAGAAGCACAATACTGCCCATCAATTTTCAAAAGTCCTGGAGTGCCAACTTCCATACCTCAGTGGTTGAGACTGGTCTTGCTCAATCCAGGGTCATGAACTAACTACCAGCTAAATCTGACTGAATACGAGTATTTTTTTATATGATCAGCAGCATTTCAATGGCCTTTCAGAGTAACTGTTCAGTCACGCTAATGGAACAACTTGCTATCGGTTGCACACCATAGCTCTAGGGTAGTGTATATAACAGGTATCTGCGTCAGGTGTAATCCCCTCGTTCAGTGGAATCTTATTTAAACTTGCTGAAAGGCTTCTATGTTTCAGAAGCTCTCTCTTAACCAACATCACTGTGCAACAAATCCTTTACTGGTCGTGCCACCACCATAGCTCAGGTTTAGGCACTGACTCTGCAAACCAGGGTCGTGAGTACATCTCACACTGTGGCTTATTTAGAAAAACATTATTTTTTAATGGACAAGCTGTTCTATGTAATGAGAGCACATAGAACACAATCTTCGCCGAAATATCTTTTTTAGAATACTGGTGTGCCACCATATTCAGTGGTTTAGAGCACTGGTCTTGTAGCTCAGGGTTTTGAGATTCAATCTCACTGGTGGCGATTTGAAAAATCAATTTTTTTTATAATCGACAGCAGCTTTCTATGTAATAAGACTTCAGGAGTGAGACACAATCTTCAGCCGAACAATCTTTTTAGAGTACACTGTGTGCCACTAGCTCAATAGTTGGCACTGAGTTTGTAAACTCGGGGTCGTGAGTTCAGGATCATCACTGGTGGAAACTTTATAGAAGAATCAATTTTTTTTATAATGTCAGCTTCTATGTATATAAGACTTCAGAGTGAAAATTCTGCAGAGGAACAATCTTTTAGAGTACTGTGCGCCATTTTGTTAAGCTCATATGACATTGAGTCTTGTAAACCAGGGTCGTGGATTCAATCCTCACTGGTAAAACCCTTTGAGAAATCAATTTTTTTTTTTATAATCGACAGCACTACAATAAGACTTCAGAGTGAGACACAATCTTGGAAGGCAGACAATCTTTTTTTAGAGTACTGTGGCCACCATAGCAAAACAGTATTGAGGAGCACCCCAATCTTGTAAACAAGGGTGAGTTCATTCCTCACTGGTGGCTTATTTGGCAAAACTAATTGGCCGCAATGGACGAAGCTCTTCTATGTAAGAAGACTTCAATTAGGAACTACAATCTTCAATGAAATATCTTTTCAAGAGTACTGTGTGCCGCCATAGCTCAGTGGATTTTGACGCTGAATGCTTATAGAAGGGGTCGTGAGTCCAATCTCACTGGTGGCTTATTTGACGAATTCAATTTGTGTCCACAGCGTTTCTTTCTAATAAGTCTTTAGAATATTTTCAGTCAACTTGACTCAACAATCAACTTACACGAGTCCGGCCCGTACCACACCATAGCTCATGCGGATTCGAGCACAGTCTTCCTGCAACTACAGGTCGTTCTAATCCTCTCTGGTAGAAAACTATTTGGAAGAAATCATTTTTTTATAATCGACGACAGCAATGCAATAACTTCC